GCAGGAATTAAAGTGTGCCCCTGTGGAGCATGTGCTGAGGCTGGCCACGGGAATGTGGGCAGATCTGACATACAAGCCACAGCAGCCAGGCTGTAATTTCCAAACAGGCCTCGTTCGCTCTGTTTTCCAGTTAAAAATATATTAAAAAATAGGAATGTGGGGTTTGTAGCGAAGAATGTTGGTAACCACTTCGAACGTCTGGTGTGATAATGAAAGGGTCAGTCCCCAGCTTTGAGCACGACCGATTTAGACTCTGGTGCTTGGCACTGGCGTGGGGGCCCAGCAGAGTCCAGCCTGCCTGCCAAAACCCCCCCGGGCCCAGGCCGGGGGAAGGTGATGCTTCTGCATTGGTGGCACAGTGCTGGGCTGGGCGACGAGCCCCTCCTGCTCACGCTGTCAAGAGGGCATCCAAATCGCCATCTCTTATGGCCTGTTGAGAAGGCAGCCTGGGCAGGGGTGGGTGAAGGCAGGATGCCTGGGAGATGGATGCTGTACCACCACTGGCCCTGCTGCCCCCCCCTGCTGGGGTACAGCCCCATAGCAGAGCCCTCCAGGATGGGGGGCACTGAGCAAGGCTGCAGTCCCACTCCCTGTGAGCTGCCCCTGCCGCTGTGGGGCTGCCGGCAAGCATGGCTTGCCCATGGCATGAGGTCAGGCGCCTGCCCCCGCTTCGCCGGGAAGCCCCCCCCGGCTGGGCTAATCGCAGTTCAGGGTGTGCTGCGGAGCCTCCCATGCCGCTGCCGCAGCCTTGAGTCGCTCCTGATACCAGGGCATCCCGCTTGGCCTTGTGGCCAGGTAGTCATAACACGTGGGGCAAGCCGTGCCGGCTCCCCGGGCATCACTCCCCGGTGCCAGCTCTCTGCTTGTGCTGCTCCCCAGACCCCTGGCACCATGTTTATCCCAGAGATGGGTAATCAGAGAAAAACAAGTCACCAGAGGCCAGGGCTGACGTCGCAGTGGGGACAAGATGTTGGCTGCGGCGGGGTTCAACTTCGGGATATGCTGGGGCGGTGGGGCAAGGAGAGAGGGGAAAGTCACTGGTACCCAGGGCTTGTCCCCCACCCAGCCCCTTCTGGGGCCACCTCCTTGTCCCTCTCAGCCTCCGGGGCCATCAGGTGGCCGGTGGCTGGCACAGCACGCTCCGCTCCCTGCTGAGTCACAGCTCTGCAGGGAAACGCTTCCAGCTCTGGTTATAAACCCGTTTCCCTCTGGGGCTGTGAAGCGCTGCCCTCCTGTCCCGGCGAGGGCCAGCTCCGGTGGCTCGATGGCTTCAAGCCTGCGGGCTTGAGCCACCAGGAAGGGCAGCGGCTGGAGGTGGCCAGTGACTCCCAAATTCCGCCCCAGGCTTGCCGGAACTGGGCCCTGCCCAGAGGCATGGGCAATGGGTGCCCTGCACCTGCAGAGCCCTGTGCCACCCCCGAAGCCCATCCCTCCCCAGGGGCTGGCGGTACTGGGCACCCTGCACCCAGTGCCTGCCCAGGGTGCCACCCCAGTGGGTCTGTCTGCATAGGTCTCAGGGACACTGGATGGCTACAAGTGCAGTGGCCACTCCACAGCGTTGCCCTGTCCCCAGGGACACCACGGGGATGCTGTGCTGGCTCTGGGAAGCTGGGGCTGAGCAGCTCCCCTGCCTGGATCCTCACTTGGGTGCTGGGAAGAGGAGCAGTCTGGGCAGCCCCAGGGCTCAGAGCCCATCCCGGGTGCCCTCCTGCACTGCAGCCCAAGTCCCGGCTGGGTCGGAGCAAAGGGGGCTGGCCAGCACCCTACACCTGGGTGCACAGCTTGCCCCACCACCTTGGGGACCCCTTGGTGGTGGGGAGAGGGGGTGGGCAGCAGCGTAGTGGCATCCAGGGCCAAGTGGCTCTGCAGGGGACTCTCCTGCCCTGCCGGGGCATTGACCCATGCAGTGCTATCTAGTACACTTTGCTCACTCCACCACTGTTCCCAGCTTTCCTGGGAGCTGCTGTTTGCTTTTCTCTGAATTATGACTCCAGCTTGTGCCTTTGATCTGGTCTGTGTCGGCCACCCATTGCCAGCCCCTCTCTGCCTTTGAAGTGCAGTCGCCTTCCCGGCCTCGGACACTGCTTTTGCAACCTCAGGTGCAATCCTGGCCCCATGGGGCTGAGACATCCAGGGCAAGAGCATCCCCAGGATGTCTGAGGTGCTCACAGCATCCCTCCTCCTCCCTGGGACCTTGTGATGGGCCAGCGTAGCTCAGGGCTCAGAGGCCAGGCAAGGAGGCACTGGGAGGTGTGTTTGCCTAGTGGCAAGCAATCCCAGGGATGCTGGTAGGGCACTGGGGCCAGTGCATCGCTCCCTCCTGTGGCAATGGACAGGGACACAGGAGGTCCTGCACGGAAGCTGGCCAAAAAGCAGACCTCCGTGGCATGCGTGTCCTGCAGCTAAGGGGCCTTTCATGCCCGCTACTCCAGCAGGAGGGACGAGACCTGCAAGTAAGGAGCCTTTCTGGGCACTAGCCAACCCATCCTGGCATCAGCCCTCCCCTCCCTCCCCATCTGGCAGGGAGTAGCGAGGGGGGCTCAGCCTGCCCTTTCCGCCACTGGGAAGCCGGGGCCGGGCTTTGGACTTTGGCCTTGAGTGGGTCTGAGCGTCCCCATCTCCTCCCCGCTCCCCTGTCCCAGAGAGGATCCGGCCTTATCTGTTACACTTTGTTCTCCTGCTGTCTGGGTGTGGAGCAGAGCAGAGATTAGTGTGCAGACCTTTGACACACGCACACACACACACACACACCCCCCACGCTCATCTACACCCGGCTGTGTGCTCAGGCGCCCGTGCACATCACACGTGCTCACACGCCCCTGCACACGTGCACCCATGCTGTGCCCCATGCACCCCCACACAGCCGCCCCCTCCAGGGCACGCACGCCTTTCCCCATCCCTGCACATGTTTGTTTTCTGGCCGTGTGCTCCGTTAGGTTCCCCATGGAGCATGGCACTTGCCCAGCCTCCCCATCACGAGAGCCAAGGTCCCCCATGCACATCGGCATGGCCCAGAGGGCAAGGGTGGCATGCCGCAGCCAGGGCAGGGGGTGTGGGCAGGAGGAGGGGGGCTTCCCTGTGTCAAGCCTGGATGGAGATGAAGTATGTGCAGAGAGGCGGGAGCTGCTCTGGCAGACTGGGAGCGAACCTGGGCATCCCTCGTCTCACTGCCACATCGCCCTCACTTGCCATGGGGACACAGGGGATAGCTTGTGCTGCCCGCAGAGATACGGTCGGAGGCAGTCGTGGCAGGCAGAGGTTCCCCGTCCCCACCTCGTGCCAAGGTCC